CCTTCCTGGTTTTATACAAACTACCTTGCAATTCCCATCACCGTAATCACATACCCGGAAGTGGGATGACGCCTTCTCCCCGCCCCCTCTCTCCGCTAGGTCCAATCAAGATGCACCGTTTCAAACCAGACGCCAGGCGGAGCTATCAGGCCAGCAGCCAATCAGCGACGGCGCGAGGTCGGACGCCCTCGCTCTCGCCAATTGATGCGATAGGTGGTCCGATTGCCTTTAAGTTCCCTCCGGGAATCTTGACGGTAAGAATAGCGTTCCGCCTGGCTTAGAGTTCCGATCCTTTCCTAAGGAAAGGAAAAACAAGATAAAATACGACTCGCTTTTTTTATGTCAGCAAGGGAGAGAAGCATTGAAAAAGGCGGAGCGGAGGCTTCATGAATTCTGCATAGGGAGGGGGGCAGTTCAGGATTTAAGAGGCATTTTTTTTCATTCACCCAAAATGATGCTCTTGTAGGGTTTTCTCCTAGATCTTTTAGTCCTTATTGTCAAGGAAAAAGCATTTTCTTGCACAATATTTTGTTGAAGAGGCTTTTTTTAAAATGAGTTTTTAGCCCTGAACATAGTTCCTAGATTAGCTGGATATATTCAGAAGCAGAAAATTGCTCTGAAGGAAAACAATGGAACTGTTTCTATATATTGCAGGGAAAACTGCATGGATTTGTCTATATAGTACCAGGAATTGAGGTAATTCTTTAGGTTTGTAATATTAATAGTTTTTTTTCCTATTGTGATTTTCAGGGAATGTTTTTAGCATATCTAACTTCCAAATACAATAATGAATTCTTATTAAATTTGCTTTATCTACTTTTTCCCCCCCCCCGTGTGTGTGTGTGTGTGTGTGTGTTAATGCTATCCTAAATAGTGACATTGATGGATTTTTTTTCTTTTCTGTTCTCAGTGTTCTAAGTTATTTAAATAATGTTAAAGCAGTAATTTATAAACATTGTTACACAAACATCAACATACAGAAACAGTTACTAAGATTTATAACAACATAACAAAAAAAACCAAAACAAATATTTTTCTCAATTCAACCTGAGAAATGCCACTAAGAATTCACATAGTATTTGTAAAAGTAAGGCAAATTAGCTATCTTTTTTAAATCATATTTTGAAACTAAGCATGTATTATGATATTGATTAAAATGGGTTCTTTAATAAGTGAGTTGTGTAATTGACTGGAAAAGCCCTGGCCAGGAATTGAATTCTAGGAACTGAAGTCCATTCATCTTAAAATTGCCAAGTTTGAAAAATCCTGGACTATTTTCTCTCCCGTTCTCACATTTCTACCAACGGAGCATCTGCGTTGATGCTTTGCTTCACAACAACAAGCTTCTGTTCCTACACACCATTGCCACCTGCCTGTAAGTGAAAATCTGCAATGCCCCCTAAGGGCTGTTTTCCCCCAGCAGGATGCTCCTTACTGCTGCTCTTTTAGCACTAGCCCAGGAGGGAAGCATTAATTTCAGTTGTGTTCACCGTTTGAAGTGAGAACACCGCTAGACAAAACACAGTGACTCAGGATATAGCAGCAAACCCCTCTGCACCTCTTTTTAAGAATCAAGTTCAAGGAATGGAGTTCAGCTTTAATTGTCCAATATTTGAGTTAAATCCAAAGCCATTCAAGCAATTTGGCTGTTTTGAAGCATTGTAAAAAAAAGAAAGGAAAGAAATGCATGAAGAAATTTGTAGGTTATGAGCTTTTAAAATTTATCTTGTACTTCTTACCCTTAGGTTGCATTTATATTGTACAAAATATGATTAAGGGGCACCAATTTATTTGGACTGTGATAAAATCAGATAGCAAAATAATTTTTGAGATACTTAATTCAAAATTTAGGTAGCTGTTTACCTTCTAATTCAGAAAAGATAGGTCAAAGCTGAAGTAAAATTCTTAGATAATTGACAAAACCATTTTTATTTATTTACAAATAAAAACCATGCTAAAAAATCTATGAACAAGTGAATGAAGATCATGAAATGACCAGCTCAACTTGCAGGATTCTTTAATGTTTACACCTTGTTTTAGGTATTGTTTATCTCCACAACTCTGGGTGAAAACAATATTCAAGCTTGTTTGAACCTCAACCTCTTTCTGACCAAACATATTATTTAGCTTACATTACAAAGAGGGGAGAAAAAAAAATCTGGTCAAATAGTGTAAAACACAAAACTCTCTGCATTGAGGAACTTACGCTCTGTCCAAAATGGTTAGATTTCTCATTATTCATCCCTCATTTAGCTGGGCTGGCAGAAGCTGAGTAGGTCTGGGTTTAGTTGTAAATTTCTTCTCTGCTAAATGAAGCAGGAGCAGAAGTGAATTTTCTCCTGGAAGGATTGTGGGTTGCATTAAGCACTATTCTGTAAAACAGATGACTGGATTTCAACATAGTTTAGAGATAATTTCAAGTATATGATAAAGCCACGGACCATTAGACAAAGTTAACAGAGAGCAAGAGGCAATCAATACATTAATCTTCACAGACATAAACAATGTATTTACTGTTTCAGTATTTTTCTCAACCTTGATAACTTTATGATTTCTGGACTTCAACTCCCAGAGTTCCCCAGCCAGCCAAGCTATTGTGGTTGCCATCTTTTTTAAAACACCTCCTGGTCCAAGTAGTGCATATAGCATGCCTTCTCCTATTTACATATTTGAATATATTAGCCACTCCATTCCAATAGATCCCAATAATTTTTCAAGGCAGGTTGGTCCGACATCATGCAACGAGGGTTTCCCCAGTTGACAGTGGACTAAGATCCGGATCTAGAACCATCCCATCTCTTGTCCAGAACCTTGGACACTACAGTTTCTTCCTTATCAAATCTCTCTTTTCTTATCATTCCGTGCAACAGAAGAAGTTACTAATCAAATTGGTAGAAGTTTCTCTTCTCTCCCCATTAAACACAGCCCCGAGTCCCTTTGCAAAGCCCACCAATGATGCTTGCTTGGATCAGCCCTGGCAACTTCACACCACATATGCAGCTGAAGCCAAGCTAGGAAGGGTTCATGCTGTCAAAGGTCTTCGTGTTTTTTTTCTAAGGGCCAGGAAAAAAAAAATCTCTCATTGTTTCATTTGTTCGTTTTTTTTATTTATTGTAGTTGCTTCTTTGCAGAGCCTATTAACCAAGGCTCAGTCCCTACATTTGCCAGCAGATGCTGCTATTGATCCATAAATTGGTGCAGCTGTTTCTTCCCTCCCAGCGTGCCTAAAAAAAAAATGAAATAAAATTGATCCACCACGAAACACACACACACAGCTTTCTAGATGTCCTTTTCTTATCTGCTTCTCTCTCTGTGACAATCAGTTTGGGAAGTGGGAGGAGGAAAAATACTTATTGTTGCTGGAGAGGAATAAACCCCGGCTGAGTTAGCAGCTCACTCACAGTTGTTCGAACCCACCCGCCCATCTTCAGCTTGCTTTTTAAGGCTTTGGTTCTCAAAGCGTGGATTGCTGCAGTGAAGAATTGAATTTTCTCCATGTTTTCCATGCCTGCAAACACACAGATACACACACACATATATGGAAAACCTGCAAGGATTTTTTTTTAAAAAAGAAGAACCCATCGTTCTCCCACAATACTTTCTGTTGATGGTGTCAGGTCTTTGAGAACAGTGAATTGTTTCCTTCTTGGTTTAGCCCAAGGCTGTTGGGAGAATTTAAATAGCAGCCTGTTTTAAATTCACAACCCCCCCCCCTCTTCTCAAGGTCAGTGCGTCTTCCTGCTTTGCAAGCATCTTCCTCTTTGCTCAACATTGATTTTTCCACCAGTGTTGAAAGAGTCCGGCCATCTGCTATTCTGTGATCTGGAGACTGCGAAAAAGAGTATTTTTTTCTGTCCGGTCCGAAGGAAGGAAAGGAAAGCAGGAAATCACCCCCCCTCCCCAAATGAGGATAATATCTCATCAAGGTCTACCTGCAGATTTTGGCCTCCCCACTGGTATAAAATCAAATCTCACAATGGCTTTTTTGCTGATGTACAAATTCAACCCTTCGCAGTTCATTTTATTTATTAAATTTATGTCTCCCCTATCTCATTGTCGGAGTGACTTTGCTTGGCTTACAAAATCATAGTTGCCGCTTAGTACACTCTGCAAATCCAGCCACTTGGGGCTTATTCAATAAACCAGGATGAAGCAATGGCTTAATTTAGTGCCTCAAGCCAGGTGGTTACAAGCTGAGGCAAAGAGGGGACTGTAGACTTGGAGACAAGGCTGGATGCTCACGGTTGGAAAACAGTTCCACAAAAACCGCTTCTGCTTATTAATTGTTGATCTCATCGATTAAAGGAAAATGGATACAAAGGAAAAGTTTTTACTTTTGAAAAGAACCTGCAGATAGTCCTGGACTTACAACCACAAACGAGCCCAAAATTTCCATTGCTAAGCAGGGCGGTTGTAAAACGAGCTTTGCCCCATTTTGCCACCTTTTTAGCTACAGTTGCTCTGCAGTTGTTAAGAGAATCCTGCGGTCATTAAGTGAATCCGGCTTCCCCCCCGGACTTTGCTTGTTGGAAGGTTACCAAAGGTGATCACGTGACCCCTCCAAAACACTGCAACCATCATAAGTACATGCCAGTTGCCAAGTGTCTGAATTTGGATCATGTGACCACAGGGAGGCTGCAATGGTCCTAAGTGTGAAAAACGGTCCTAAGTCGCTTTTTTCAGTGCTGTTGTAACGTCAAACGGTCACTAAGCAAACAGTTACAAGTCGAGGACTACTTATACATAACATAGGAGAAAATTGGCCCCAGAAACGTACTCCAATCGAGACAGCGTTCGAATTCCAGCACTTCCCCAAGGCCACACGACCGTGTTCACTGGCAGGCAGCTGGCATCTAAATACACATTACCGGCCCCTTAATGGCCTTGCTTGGGGAGACCAAGAAAATCCCGGAAGCTAATGATTTAAATGCTGGGAATTAAGGCTTGTCATATTACCGGGGTGGGTTGTGTTAGCCTCCCTGTGGAGGTCGGGAGGGGAATAGACTCTGCTCAGGTGTGTAACGTGATAGCTGGGCACAAGAAGGGGGGGGGGGTC